CCTCCCCCTGAGCTGCGTCTTCTTCTTCTTCTTCTTCTTTTCTTGCAGCCACGAAGAAGCAAAAAGGGGTCACTCTCAGTCTCTTCTCTTAGTCTTCTTCTTACTATCTTCTCTTTACTGTCTTCTCTTCTTCTCTCTAGTTATTCTCTAGTTAATCCTCGAGTTCTCCTCTTGGCGTCTCCTTTTTCTCGGTTTCAAGCGAGACTTTTCGCTTTTGCTTCTGGCTCGGATTCGGATTCTGATATCACATCTTCACTTCTTCTTCTCTTCTTCTTCCTGTCCTCTTCCCAGGTTTCTTCTTCTTCTTCTTCTCTCTTCTCTCTTCTCTCTTCTATGCGCTGTCTCGCCTCGACGTCGTCGCTCCATCGGTGACGGGCCTGCATCATCACATCCACGACCTCCAGCATCACCACAACAACATCACCATCACGACCAGCAGCGACATCCACAGACATCCACAGACAGCAACAGACAGCAACATCTCCATCTCGATCGAGGGCATGGCCCAGTCCCCCCCGGCCTCGCCCTCCCGCGCTGCCTTCAACCGTCCCGTCAGTCTCATCATGCGCCCGTCGCGGAGCAGCAGTCGCATGAGCGTCGGCAGCGTCGCCAACTCCAACAGGCACTGCGGCAGCGGCAGCTCAGACGACGATGCCAGGACCGCCGTCAAAGTTGGTCAGTATCTCTATTACACCATTGCACTGCATGAATATGTTACTGATAAAGTCCTTAGTCGTCCGTGTTAGACCCCCCCTGCAGCAGTCAGACCCGGGCTTCGACCTGATCCCGCAGCGCTTCCAGCGGCCGACCGTCCATGTCACCTCGCCGACCTCGCTCGCCATCGACGCCCCCCAGGGCCGCAAGCTCTTCGTCTTTGACCGCGTCTTCGGCGAGAGTGTCGACCAGGAGGGCATCTGGGACTACCTGCACGACAGCGTCAACTCCTTCATGCAGGGCTACAACGTCTCCATCCTCGCTTACGGCCAGTCGGGGGCGGGCAAGTCTTATACCATGGGGACCTCGGGGCCCTCAGAACAACACGACCCCAAAGCAATGGGTATACCATTACTCTCTTATTCTACTCAATTGATATATATATGCTAATACTGACATCAATAGGAATCGTGCCGAGGGCGGCGCAGATGCTGTTTGAGAAGCTGACGGGCTCGCCCACGCACAACAGGAGCTTCTCGGGCTCCCCAGTGACCGGCCTGCGGACGCCCCAGAGATACTCCTCTGCTTCCTCCTTTGGCCGTGTCTCGGACAAGCCCTGGCAGATGCGAGCAACCTACGTCGAGGTATTCCTCTTTTTCTCTTTATACTGGGGTCGGTGCTAATAATGTAGATATACAACGAACAATTGAGAGACCTGCTGCTGCCAGAGTCAACACCCCCCGGAGAACGCAACACTGTCACCATCCGCGAAGACACCAAGGGCCGCATCATCCTCACCGGCCTCCACCAGGTCGCCATCAACTCCGTCGACGACCTCATCAACGCCCTCAACTTCGGCTCGGCCATCCGCCAGACTGACTCCACCGCCATCAACGCCAAATCCTCTCGCTCCCACGCCGTCTTCAGCATCAACCTCGTCCAGCGCAAAGACGGTTCAGCCGGCCTGCCGCTCTCTGCCCAGGAGAAACGCTTCTCCATGCCGGATCCCACTTCTTCCTCTTCTTCGTCTTCTGCGTCTGGAGACCACGTTACCATCGATAGTAAACTGCACTTTGTCGACTTGGCCGGAAGTGAACGCCTCAAGAACACGGGGGCCTCGGGAGAGCGTGCTAAAGAAGGCATCTCCATCAACGCGGGTCTCGCCAGCCTGGGCAAAGTCATCTCCCAGCTCTCCTCCCGCCAGCAGGGGGCTCACGTCTCCTACCGTGACTCCAAGCTCACTCGCTTGCTCCAGGACTCCCTCGGCGGGAACGCAATCACCTACATGATCGCCTGCGTCACTCCGCCAGAGTTCCATCTCTCAGAGACCCTCAACACCGTCCAGTACGCCCAGCGGGCCCGCGCCATCCAGTCCAAGCCTCGCATCCAGCAGATTACAGACGAGAGCGACAAGCAGGCCGTCATCGAACGCCTCAAGGCTGAGGTTGCCTTCCTCCGCCAGCAGATTCGTAACGCGGACGGGGGCGAGAGGGATCGTCGTGCCCTTCTCACGCCCCAGGAGCGGTCCGACCGCCAGAACGAGCGCGAGCGGGAACTCCAGAACCACCTGCTCGACGTCCAGGAGAGCTATACCGCCCTCAGCCAGCGCCATGCTAAGCTCATCTCAGAGCTCACAAAGTCCGATCCCTCGGCAGACAGCAGCAATGGGCTTGACGACGGAGGGGACGCCTCCATGGAGCGCCTCAAGCGGTCCCACTCCTTCGCCGAGTCCGTAGAGCAGGTCGTCATGGAGTACGAAAAGACCATCCAGTCCCTCGAGTCCTCCCTCTCCCAGACCAGAGCTTCCCTCTCGGCCACGGAGAGCACCTTGCTCGAACGAGAGACAAAATGCGCCTACATCGAGACCGTCAACGGCCAGCTCCAGGCCCGCATGCAGAAGATGCTCGACCGCGAGGCCAACACAGAGAGCTACCTGCACGACCTCGAGTCAAAACTCGACAGCCATGCTACGGGCGAGGAGAAGAACGCTGCCATCGTCGCAGAGCTCAGAAAGGAGCTCAACCGCGCCAGAGAGAACGAAGCCAGCTGCGAGGACTATATCTCTACACTCGAGGAACGTCTCGCCGAGGCTGACCAGGACATGGAGCTCATGCAGTCCGAGATGGACCGCCTCGAGCATGTCATCGACCGCCAGCGAAGCCTCGGAAAGCTCGACAACCTCCTCTACGAACTCGACCATGTCCAGAACGGTCACTCCAGGTCAGAGTATCCTGCAGAGTATCCTACAGAGTATTCTGCTGTTGGCATCCACGACTCCAGGAAGCTGTCTTCAGCTGGCTCTGCTTCTACCATCAGACCCAAAAAGACTACTCGCACCAGGACGCCCTCGCTCGACGTCCTCACCGAAGCTGTCGAGACCGCCATCCCAGAGTCCGACGACGACCTCCTCCTGGCTGACGGTTCGACCCCGTCTTCTATCCAGGAAGAAACCGCCCTCGATCTCGCCAGAGACGACGCCGGCCTCGCTGCCCTCGAGAGAGCTACCCCTACCAACTCTACCTTTGCCAGAGACGCCCACGATGACGATGATGAAGATGCCGAAAACGACGAACCAGAGCCATACACGCCCAGTGCTGCTCAGTCTCAGTTCGTCGCTGAAAAACTCGACAGCGTCACCCAGGAGCTCTTCGACCTGCGCATCCAGCACGACCACTCCATGAACGAGTACGCCCTGCTCAACGCAAAATACCAGGAGTCCCTGCGCGCCATGGCAGAGCTCCAGGACGCCATGGACGAGATCCGCCACAGCCAGCGGTCCCAGCACCCCGTCCAGCCCGCCGTCGCTTTTTTAGACACCAAGCTCGCTCAGAACGGCCGTCCAAGAGTCAACGGCAATGGAGTCTCGGTCTCCTCCTATTCCAATGGTGGACAAACATCACGCTCGCTCTCCTCGGAATTGTCCTCGGCAGAGCAGGCCAACAGCTCATCCTTCACTTCTTCCACCACTACTAACAATACAGAGGTTGAAGAAGCAGACCAAGGCGAAGAAGAAGATGAATCCGAAGAAAGTGATGTGGTCAAGAAACTCAAGGCTGAACACCAACAGGCCCTCGATGCAGTCACCAGCAAATTCAACGAACTCCAGATGGAGCACGAAGACAGCCTCACCCTCCTCGAGAGCCTCAAGGACGAAGTCACCCGCTACAAGAACGCCGCCTCCTCGCCTCCACACACCCCAAATGTCATCCGCCGCATCACCAGCCAGAGCATGATGACCGTCGACCGCGCCCACAGGAACCTCTCGGCTCTCCGCATCCAGGCCGCCGAGGAATTCGAGGGCCGTCCCGAAACCCTCCAGAGCTTCGACCAGAAGATCGACTCCGCCCTGCGCGAACTCAACTCTCGCATGGAACGCATCCAGGCCCTCGAGGCTGAGAACAAGAACGTCAAGAAGGAAATGGAGACCAAGGCCACCATCATCTCGGGCCTTACCCGCGAACGATCCAGCTTGCAATCCGTCTCGCCCGTCGACATGACCGTTGTCTCTCAGCTACGTGACCAGATCGTCAATGCCGAGGGACAAATGAACGAGATGAGAGAAGCCCACGAAGCTAAAGAGCGCGAACTCGCAGAGGAACTAAAGTCCGTCAACGCCCTCGTGGAATCGCAAAAGGCCGAGCTGGACTCTCTACGCAAGGAAGTCGAGGAGTGGCAGGGGAAACACCGCCAGACTGCAGAGGAACTGGCTCTAGTCCAGAGCCGCCTCGAAGCATCAGAAAAGCAAGTCAAGGCCACCGTTGCCGAGCTCGAGGCCTCCCTGGCCAACGTCGATGCCATGCGTGGTACCAACAGCAGCAACAAGGGTGGCGTGTCTGCCGATGAAGCCGCTGCCACCGCTGATGCCCTGGAGAAAGAGAGGTCTCAACACCAGGAGCTAGTCGACAGCCTCAAACAGGAGATTGACGGCCACAAGGCCACTATCGGAGCACATCTGGCCAAGATTGCTACTCTCGAGAGCGACCGCGACGGTTCTCGCACTGCTCTGGACGACCTCGCTGGCTCAGAAGACCAATTGGCCCCGCACAAGGCCCGTGTAACCGAGTTGTCCAGGGACATCGAAGTACACAAATCCACCGTTGAAGCTCAGCAGGCCCAGCTCGAAACCCTCCAGCTCACGCACAAACGCGAACTCCTCGAACTCGAGTCCAAGACAAAAGCCGCCGCCGAAGCACAGTTCGAGTCCCAGCTCGCCGAAAAGGCCGCCGCCCACGAAGCCGCGCTCGACGACCTCCGCGCCGAACTCACCAAGTCCAAGGACGAATCGGCCCAGATTCTCAAGACAATCTCCTCCTTGCTCAAGACCCAAAGCCCCGTCACTCCCTTCACCCTGCAGGACCAACTTCAGGACGTCCTCTCGCAAAAGGACCAGTTCGCCGAGAAGTACTCTGCTCTCATGGACACTAACGAGTCCCTGACCCGCCAGCTAGACGAGAAGACCGAGACACACACCGCGCTCGAGAAGCAGGTCGTCGACCTCAAGAACAAGGCCAACGAACACGAGATGAAGGTCAACGATCTGGCCGTGCTGGTGGCTAACCATGAAGAAGCCATTGCTGCCAAGGAGGCGACGATAGAGGAGATCAAGGCTGAGAAGGAGAAGAGCATCCGTCTTGTCGAGGAGCTGGAGGAGCAAATCACCTCTTCGTTCGACCAGCATAACAACCGACTCTCGGTCATCCAGGCCGAGAAGAGCATGGCCCTGGAAGAGGCCAAGGCTAAGATTGCCGCGCATGACAAGGAGATTGAGACTTATCGTGCTCGTATCGAGCAGTTGGAGGTA